CCTTGAACCTGAAAATTACAATATAATAAAGGAGCATGTATTCAATCTTTCTTCTATATAAGTATATGTATATAAGAGTTAGTTTTTTATGGTTTCAAGAAATGTTTATATAGTATTAGATAGGCAAACAGATAGTACATTGGGCTTCATTAAATGTAAAGTCAAAAGCTTCTGCTCTATCTGAATGTAACAAATAGATTATTTAGTAAACCTAGTTAGGGCAATAAAAGTTTCTGCGTTTCTTTCTTTTCTGACTCATGTACGTAGTGTTATCATTGCTATTGACAAATGCTTATCAAAATGAAATTTCCTCGATCGGATCGATACAATACAACAATCGATGCAATAAGTGGATGTCTTATGTCTGCAATTATTCGTATTTCAACAAACAAATACAGAAGTTTGGAATCGATTGAAGCAATAGTGTACTTATATAGATGAAGAATTATATTTAATAATATTTATTTTATTTATGTGATCAATATGACATTGAAATGAGATTTGGTTTCAGAGATTCTCAATAAAATTGTCTTTGTGCATGTAGTAGATGGTGTCCTGGAAAATTAGAAGGCAGTTGAAAGCTGGGGACGTATGGACAAATAAAATGATAAATAAAGTTAAAATTTACATATACATATATCGTAACAAAAAATATATATTAAAGTGTAATGCATACGATTGCTAAAATTATAGAATTATATAAATAAATTCATATAAAAAAAATAAATAAAAACATGTAAACTATTTAATATAATAGTATATACTGTTAATATTGTTTTATTGTAGGTAAATATCATGGCATGTTTTATACTCGGCTGTATTTTCATTATATTTTTAAAGAACTCGTCTTTAGTGAAATTCTAATTTGTGCTCCACTTGCTGAATACGGCTTTGAGCTGATGTACTCACGCGCACTTAGCCACATGCACACCCCCATAAAGAGACGATTACTTCCGCCATTTTCTATGATGAATTGCTACTTTTGCTTAACGCACACACACACACATTTATACAGAGAGCCACACACACACACACATGCACAGAGCCATTAAGCAGCAGAGAGGAGATGCGCAGACATCCATTCAGAGACCGGGGACAAGGCAGTTAGCGACACAGACCCACATATACATGCAAGGCCATCTGTGTATCCGTGTATCTGTGGATACACATTTATCCAGTCGTCGACGGCGTTGACAGCGCCAACGCCAGCGGAAAAAGGTGCAGGACGAGCCAAGAACGCCGCAGAGGCAATGTAAAGCAGGTGAACTCGAGGCAGCTTTGTTGCTGCTGCTGCTGTTGCTGCTGTAGCTGGCAGCAATTGGTGGCAAAACACTGAAAGGACACAGGAAGTGCACTTTGCCAGCACACACACACACACACACACACACACATGCACATATTCGCACACTTTTATATACAGAAGCAGGACACCCTTGCCGTCATTGGGGTGCTTTTGCCGTTTATTTATGCCTGGCAATCATAAAGCGCGCCCCAAAACTCACACACCCACACACACACACACTCATACACACTCACACAGAGAGACAGTGCAAGGGAGAGTGCAGGTTATGGCTTTCTATAACTCAGGTTCTGTTGTCGTGCCGCCTCTTTCTGGCCAACGGCCGCGTCGTCTGCTGCTGATGTATTCCATACAAATTGCAAGTTTTAGTGCTTTTATTTTTCGGCACTCTCCGGCAAGAGAATCATCCATCAATGGCATTACGGGCAAGGACACAGGGACAGCAGCCAGCCAGCCAGCCAGCCAGCCAGCAGACGCGAATGCTTTTTGAGTGTTGCTGACGTTTTTGTGTCGCTGTCGCTGTCGCTGCTGCTGTCGCAATCGCAATCGCAGACGCAGACGCACCCATTGCTCAACAGGACACACACACTAGAGGATAACAACCCTCCTTTTACCCATTTTTTCTTGTTTTCTGGTCGAAAGCATGCGGCGAAATTTGTAAATTTTTCGCTGCAAAACAAAGAGAAAGATTCTTTGGCCAACACAAAAGGGGGTAGACTTTAGTGCCTGCTATCTCCCTCTCTCTCTCGGTCTCTGTCTCTCTCTCGTTTGCTCTCGCTCAGTGCTTGTGGCTGCGTTTGTAGAATAATAGCATAAAATATTGTTGTCCTTGAACAATTTACTTTTATTTTATTTTTATTGCCTACATTGTGGAGCGCTGCCTCTGCCTCCTTCTGCCTCTGCCTCCTTCTGCCTCTGCCTCCTTCTGCATATGTGTGCCGCATATGTGGGTGTGTTTGTTATGGTGTCTGCATTGTTGTTGTTGTTGAGCCGCGTTTTTGGCTTCATTAAATTTATGTTGCAACGAACCGTTGCGCACTCGACCCCCACCCCCCTTCACCCGCACGCCCTGTCTGCTTGCCAATGTGCTGAGCCTAGTTGCACGTGCCGCGCTGCCGTAAAACAGATCGTAAAAGTTTATTACTTGCGGCTTTCTCTTTGTATGTGTGTCGCGGATACTGTTGTTATTCTCTCGATGTTGTTGTTGGGTCTGTTCACTGTAGCTGCTGCTCCGTCGCCATTGTCGCTGTCAGCTGTCAAATTGAATTTGTTTATATTGCCAGCACCAGCTGAAGCGGCAGCAGCAGCAGCAGCAGCAATGCCGTCGAGCCGGTCAGAGGCCATATTCAGCGCCATTCAGCTCCAACAGGTTTCATTTTCACTTGCCGGAAATCATTGCGTCATGCTGATATTTTGTATTTTAACGCCCCGGCGACACCACGCCCTCACCCGCTCTGGCTGTCATGCTCAGCTTTGTGTTTAGGCTGCAAAGTCGATTTTTGTTGGTTTAGGTCAGTTAGTTTTTGGCTTTGACAGCTCAAAGTCGAGGTCAACTTTTGTATGCCCATCATCGGTTGGCGTGCTGTCTGCCTCCCTCCTCTCTCTGCCTGTATGTGTGTGTGTGTATGTACATGTGTCTGGCTGCGTGTCTCATATTTATGCGCCCGCCGGTCGAGACGCGTCCCAACGGCCAATGCGACGCGCCCTCGTCACTGGACGTTGATATAAAAAATCGATTTTATTATAGCCGTTTGTCTGCCATCCTATATAGATTTTCTGTCAGCTGCGATATTGCCTTTTGTCTGACTGGGCGAG